AAGTGAAGTGGAGAATAAGAAATTCAGTCTAAATATTCTCAGTTTTAAAATAAATCTTTGAAGCAGATTTCTCTTATTCACATCTATTCATATTTTATAACAATCTTTATAGAAAAAAGTTAAATAAGGTGTCTCAAGGGCAAATTATAATATACATAAAGTCTGAACAGTCTAACTATAGTTTTAAAACTGTCATACTATTAAACATCAACAAATTGATACATCTCTCTTCATTTCTTCACCCAAGTTGTTATGATAACCAAAATATGTGTAATATGTGTTTAACTGATTATTTCAACTAAATAAAATTATAACATCAGCTTATTAACTACAAGTAATAATTGCTACAAACCTGTATTTATCTTTTTTAAATGCTAATGGATCACAAGATCATATTTAACTAGACAATTTATACATGTTTAATCTTGAAATTTACATTTTAAAAAGCAAAGATTTGCTTTTTTTTCCAATGTGATGTGTTATCTTGACTTAAAAACAAAGCAAGAAAGGAACTAATCTATTTTCTGAACAATATACTATGGTAAAATGATCCAAAATTATATTACGGTACTGCTTTGCAGGAGTTGTAGATCACATTGTTTTCAAACATAAGTGACCTTGTCACTCCTCCAGTCCTCTGCTCAAATCCCTCCACTAGTGTCCCATCTCTGTGAACAAAAGCCAAAGGCCCACGCCCTCCTCCTTCCCTTGCTCACGCCATTCCACCCACACTGGTTTTCTTGCTGTTGCTCCTGCCCCACAGCCTTGTACTCTTCCCCAAGACAGCCACAAGCCTGGCTCCTTCACTTATTTCAAGTCTGTGTTCAAGTATCAGCTTCTCAATGGAACCTTCTTTGATTGCTGAATGACCCCATTTTACACTGCTATTCCTGCACCCCTCCCATCTCTGCTCAAACATAACTGTCTGCTAAGGACTCATGTGTTCCTCCAAAATTCATATTTTGAAGTCCCAACCTCCAGTGTAAGTATATTTGGAAATAAGGCCTAAAAGGAGGTAACTAAGGTTTAATGAGGTCTGAAGGGTGGGGCCCTGATCCAATAGGATTAGTAGTTTTATAAGAAGAAACAATACATTTATAGTAAGAAACAATACATTTTTTGTGACGATATGCAAGGAATCCAATAAGAAATAAAAATATGCAATCTTAAATAAGCTAATGTTTAAAAATCACAATGGTCAAAATTTGTGTTCTAATCACAGAACCACAGAATCCTGCTTTCTTGGTTCTCCTCCTATGAATCTGAACCAACACAGGCTCTGTCTTCCTCCCATCCATTAAATGTGGAAAATATGTAATACTGTTACTTTGATCTTTTTTCTCTAATCACTTCCTACATGAACTCATCCATTCTCATTGCTTCAACTATCGCTTCTGTTTAGATGACTCTGAAACTCTGAAATCTCTGGCCTGGACTTGTCTGTGCTCTCGAGTGCTGTATTCTCAACTGCCTTTGAGGGGATCGTCACTTCACCATAGTGCTGGAGATGTCAAAGGACAGGAGCCTTAGGTAGAACATAACATACGCACTAGAGCATGCTACATAAAATATCATTTTAAAATGTAGTAGTAGTATATAGACTCCCATAATTCTATACACTGCCTGAGAAACTGCCTTCTTTCATTACAGAAATTAGACTACGATAATAGGGAATTCCAATCTTTTGAGTTATGACTGTGTATTCTAATTAACAATATACCCTTGTACTATCAGTTTCACTTCAACCACTGAGTTATTCCCAATATTGCAATAGAGTTTTATTACTTTCAAATTGAATTTAATCACTTGGGGTGGGGAATATAAGAAATTATATGAGGTTTCCAAATTAAGTTTCTGAACTAGGATAGTTTATTTTTAGAAGAAAAATGTGTCATGTCTTTGTCTTCATCATTGGCTCACAAATAACATTTGTTTCTCTAGCCATTTTTCTTCCTACTCATTAATCAATTCATTATTATTTTAAAGACTTCTCGAAAGCACAGTTTTTACCTCTCTGAAGATGCTCAGTAATTTGATGATGAAATGACAACTCAAAATTTAGGAAAGTCTTCACATGAAAAGTTGGCTAACAGAATTTATTATCTAATTAAACAAACCACATATTTTTAGAATTTCATTGAGCAAAAATACAAAGAAAAAATCCAAGAGAAAATCATACTGTTATTATTGCTTTAGAGACAGGCCCAGGCCTCCCAGGTGCAATAAAGTCCCGGGGGCCTTGGATAGCATGAAGGACCTTATAGTCAGTGATCCTCAGTACAAGTCAGTTACTGATGAAATACATAATGTCCCATGCCTATAGTCCCTTTTTAAGAGGAATAATTACTACATATTATATCAGGTAAATTTCACTGCTACTTCTTTCTCAAATATTTTTTATTCAAATTAAGAATATAAATGACATCTAGTTAAGATAGGTGCTGATATAGACTGAATGTTTGTGTCCTGCCAAAATTTGTATGTTGAAATTCCAACTCCCAGTGTAATGGTATCAGGAGGTAAGGGCCTTTGGCAGGTGATTGTCATAAGGGTGGAGCCCTCATGAATGGGTTAGCGCCCTTATAAAAGAAGCTATTGAGAACTCCCTTGCACCTTCTACCATGTGAGGTTACAAGGAGAAGATGGCTGTTTATGAACTGGGAAGTGGGCCCTCACCAGACACCAAATCTGTTGGAAATTGGATCTAAGACTTCACAGCCTTCCAAACTGTGAGAAGTAAGTTTCTGTTGTTTATAAGCCACCCAGTCTATGATATTTTGTTATAGCAACCTGAACAAACTAAAATAGGTGTTAAGAAGTCAAGCTTGGCTGTCCTCAGTGCTCACAAAAGGCACAAAGTATGCCTAAACTACCAACAAATCCTGTCATTACTCCTTTCAAAATATATCTAGAATCTGACTGATTCTCTCCCCCATTTTCTGCTACCAGATACCTTGGTCCAAGCCACCATCATCTCCTACCAGGACTACAAGTCTCCTAAATAATCTCCCTGCCTACTAGTCTACTCTCCACATAATAATGCCAGTGATCACAATAAAACATGAGTCAAATCAAGTCATTCCTCTGCTCAATATCCTCAACTAGCTTCCCCTATCACTTAAAGTGAAAGTCAAGTCCTTAAAATGACTTAGAAGATCCTTCATGGTCTGGTCCCCCTTCACCTCATCTTGAACTGTTCTTCCCCTCCCTTACTCCATTCAGCCCCAATGTCTTCCTTGCTATTCCCTGAACACATCAAACATACTTTCACTTTAGGTTCTCTGCATCAGCTGCTTCCTCAGCCTGAAAGGCTCTCTCTCCCTCCAGACAGCTAGAGGACTTGCTCCCGTGCTTCATTCCAGATTCTGATTAGTGAGGCCTTCCTTGACAACAGAACATAGACTAACACCCCTTCTCTGCCGCCCACCCCTCTCTAATACCTTTAACCTGCTTTATTTTTTCCCAAAGTGCTTATTATTGCTAGGCATACTACATGTTTGTTTCTTATTTGCATTACCTAACTAGAATGTTAACGCCAAGAGAACAGACTGTTTTGTTCCTTGCTCATTCCCCAGCAATAGAATACAGAATAGATTATCAGTAAGTATCAATAAATATTGATCAAATGAATGAATGAATAAATCTTGCACTAGTTTCTTATCCCAAACCAGATGCAGATTCATCTTCCTTCAAACTGTATACCACTGTATTTTTATTTTTCTTATGACAAATCATATCCTTGTATTAATAATCATTCTTTATGTATCTTAGCGTCCTGTAAATATCAAGAACCATGTCTTATTCCTCTTTGTATCCCCCACATCTAGCATCATTTCTTTCTTTTAAGAGGTACTCAGTATTTGTTGGGCTGAATTTGAAGTTATACTGAAAGATACTTTTTTTTTTTGAGACAGAGTCTCACTCTATCGCCCAGAATGGAGCACAGTGGAGCAATCTCGGCTCACTGCAACCTCCGCCTCCGGGGTTCAAGCGATTCTCCTGCCTCAGTCTCCCAAGTAGCTGGGATTACAAGCACATGCCACCACACCGGGCTAATTTTTGTATTTTTAGTAGAGAGGGGGTTTCACCCTGTTGGCCAGGCTGGTCTCGAACTCCTGACCTCAGGTGATCCACCCACCTCAGCCTCCCAAAGTGCTGGGATTACAGGCATGAGAAAGATACTTCTATAATACACCTGGATCTGTTGTGCTATGCTTTAGCGCGTGGCCCAGTACCAATTCTTAAATTGCTAAAAAATGTTCTGCTTTCATAACAAGCCACCAAATTTAACACAAGTGAGATAGAAGAGAGCGTGTAACCTGCCTCAGAGATGCCTAACATCCATTTTGTCCTGATATGGAAACCATAAGAACATTTTGAATGATGTCAACAAATCATAAGATTTTCAGAGGATACTGAAAACTGCTTGGCAAAAAGCCACCTCAGCTTGACCCACTTATGAATTCTACAAAAAGAAAAGCTAGAGAGCAAATGCTTCACTCTTATCTTCATAAAGAAATAAATAACCAGAAACAAACTAACATGAAGATTTTTTTTTCCTAAAAAAACAAATTCCAGCATCACTACTACAATTAATATCCATTTGACCCAAAACTTTTGTACAGCTCACTAACTGGGTATTTTTAATAAAAAGCTTAAATCACCAAGGAAAGATTAAATTATCATCAACACGTTTAAAAAACTTAATATGCCTTGAGTTTTAAACTTTCATCAACTCAGTTAAAATTCAAGTCTCACACTAAACGAGTGAAACCTTCATTATTAAGAAAAGTCAACCGTACACAGCAATTTATTCTCCAAGACTTGTGGACAAGCAGAATTTTGCTTTTCAGTCAAATTCTTTGACAACTGATAATCCATAATTATAGTAATCAGAATAGTTAATAGGCTAGAACTCTCTTTTACCAGGCAGAAGTGACAGCATTAAAAATAAATGATACAGTAAAAACAATGTCCCACCTTCTACAGTGTCAGCTCACCTGAGGTATAAGTCTGTCCAGATGTTCAACTCGATTGCCATGAGAAGGGTGTGTAGATAACCATTCTGGCATCTTGGGTAGGCCATGCAGGCTATCGACAAACTCCATTTGCTGCCAAAACACTGAACTGGCTCTTATGTCTGCACAAGCCTAAAACCAAAATTAGTAAAACCACACAATGAGTTCAGTTTTGAGGATTGTTTTTTAAATACAACTTTATGTCACTACATGCTTTAAAGTCATTTTCTATCATCATTTTAATAAAAGTAGAACATGCCCATTGCTTAGAAAAAGACCCACCTCAAACAACATGGTATCACAGTACTGAAGTAACAGAATGCCTGCCCTTCCCATATACAACATTCACAATAACCCTGCTAACCAAAGATAGCTCACTGTTTTCAGTATGATGAATATTAAGAACATGTATTAAGGGTAAAATCTTTTACACAAATTAAAAATTTTGTTTTCATAAAAATAAAGTTTTAAAATATAATCTGTTATTAAATTGCATTAAAGGAACTTTACTTCTATGCCACTAGACCAATCAGAAAAAAACTTCAAACAAACATAAAGAGAAGACATTTTTATTGTGCACATCAATTTACCCACTTTTCTCAATGTATACGAAGGATATATTTAATTCATATTATACCTTATAAAACACAGTACCTTATAAAAGTATAATATAAAAGTACATTAGTGCTTTTTAAAAGAATGTATGTAGATATTGTGTATGTGTATGCACAATTCCATCATACACTCATATACATACTCATACATATATACTTGTATATGCACAGAACATATCTGAAAAGCTATTTAAGAAATTGTTAACAGTAGCTACCCTAAGAATGTATCTAAGGTATCTGATAGTGGAGAGGGAGCAGGACTTTTATTTCCGAACTATATTAAAATACATTATTTTATAATTAAAATTATTTTTAAATCCTCCATAAGGTGGATTATTAATAAATATTTTATTAATTTGTTCAATTTATTCACATTTCTTAACTTATTCTTTCTATAATAAGTAACTGGAAAAAAAGTGATTATATTTCCCAACCATTTTACTTTTCATTAAAACTAAGAAAAAAGATATATACTATACTGACTAAAATGTACTTTCAAAAAGGTTTATAATAGTGTAATTGTGAAACCCCAAAAGGCAAATATATTAATAGAACACGGCATGCTAGTCAATATCCATGCTACATCGTTTCTTAACAAATGCCATTAAAACATTTCCAAATGTTAGCAAAATAAAAAATTTTAAATTCAAGTAAATCTTAATATTTAAAGAAATATAATTCCTTAAGACCTCCGAGTATTTTAAGTCGAAAAGAATTCAAGGTACTTTACACACTATTGCACAGATATGGATATACATGTTTATATGTATATAAACAGGAATATACAAGATAAATGTATATAACAAACATAAACATGATTCATGTTTGTACACATATACTTATCTATATATGCAAGATGTGTGTGTGCTTATGTGTAAAGTACATATGTAACATATATATCTATGCAGAAATAATTATTTGATGCTGAATTAGAAACACTCACAGGAATACGTCCCTCAATAATAGGTAATCACATTCACAAAAAAAAGCTGAGATTAACAAGTATTCTTCTAAAATAATTCATAAAAATATAAAATGACTCGAAAGAATTCTAACAAACAAGAAACCCCTCTGAAAACTGGAAGATAAACATTTGAATGGACTACAAATTCGTGAATTATCTAACATGAAGTTTGTCTGGTATACAAACCAAAAGCATACTTATCTAATATTTTTAGCCTAAAACTGTTAATCAGAAGACAAAATATTTCCCTATTCAATCTCTAAGTAACACAGCTGAAGGGAATCTTTAAAGCAATATTTGATATGCAGAAATAGAAAAAGAAATTAATTATCCCAACGGACTAGAAAGTATTCCAAACTAAAAGTATTAAAAAGGGACTTGAGATATCTACTTTAATGTTAAGATAAGAGTGTTGAGTTTGTCTGTACTTCTCAAACCCAGTTCAAAGACCCACTAAAGTCAGATAATTTTGTTTCCAAAATGAGTATTTTATTCATATTTTTCCAATTTAGGAAAAATAAGTAACAGAGTGACATCAGCAAGACGGAAGAATAGGACGCCCTGAACCCTCCTTCCCCACATGAACACACTGATTCAACAATAACATACAAATTCCCTGTGTGAGAAATCCTGAAACTAAAGGTGCAATGCTTCTGCACCTGCACAAATACGAAATGAACCACATCAAACCTGGTAGAAAATTGGAGACACCTTCTTGCCATAATCTGCAAGAGCAATTACGTACCCCCAATACAGTGCACCATATGATCATAAGAACACCTGCAGCTCCCCACCACTCCTTGGGGAAGGAAAAAGTTGGCTTGTGTATCTAACATTCCAACTTTTTTAAGAGCTGCCCTAGGGACTGGCTTCTGTCTTGCCAGCCTTGTAGCACTGATGGAATCTAGAACACACTAGATGTCTAGGGGCCAGTGATAACGCAACAGAAGTTTGAACAAGCATACAGGCAGTTGCCATGACCACTCCCTGAAGCTCAGCATTAAATGAGTTGAAGAAAAACTCCAGAGCCTAGTTTCTCCTGGGGCAGGGCTTGGGGGAAGAGGTAGATCACGTGTCCAACATTCTAACATTTCTGAGGGCTGTCCAAGGGACTGGCTTCTGTCTCATCTGTCTTGTAGCACTGCTAGAACCCAGCATATGAACCAGATAGGACCCTAGACGCCTAGGCACCACTAAGAATAAAGACAGCAGTTTGGACTAGCACGAAGGTTTGAGAGGTTCTCGGAATCTCTGCTGTGCTGACTGATGAAGATCTTCTCCTGTACAACGACAGTCGGTAAAGGCTAAGAGGTTGCTGTTTTTTCCTAATGTGTAGATATCAACAATAAGAGTGAACAATATAAACAGAGAAATATGCACCAAAGGATCAAGATAAATCTTCAGAAACCGACCCTAATGAAAGGGAAATATATTATTTATCTAACAAGAGAATTCAAAATAACCATCATAAAGACACTCAATGAGGTCAGAACAATGCATGAACAAAGTGAGAATTTCAACAAAGACTCAGAAAATGTAAAAAAGTACTAAACAGAAATTCTGAAGCATACTCCCAAACTACACACTCCTGTACAGCCTATGGGTCAAGGAAAAAAACAAAAAGAAAATGATTTTGAGACAAATGAAAATGAAAACACAATATAACAAACCTGATGGGATATAGCAAAAGCAGTTCTAAGAGTATAGTTGATAAACACCTACATTTAAAAAAAGAAGAAAGCAAGCAAATAAACAAACTAACTTTATACCTGTAGATCTAAAAAAAAAAAAAAAAAAAAAAGAACTAAGCCCAAAGTTTGCAGAAGGAAGGAAATAATAAAGATTAGAGCATAAATAAAGGAAACAGAGAATTAAAAAATAGAAAAAAAACTAAAACTAAGAGCTTTTGGGGGAAAGATTTACAAAATTGACAAGTCTTTAGAGTAATTAAGAAAAAAAAGCCTTAAATGAACAAAATCAGAAATGAAAGAGGACACATTACAACATACCATTATAACTTATACCATACAAAGGATCATAAGAGACTACTTTGAATAATTATATGCCCACAAATTGGATAAGCTAGAAGAAATGGATAAACTCCAAGAAATATATAACCCACTAAGATTGAATAAAGAAATAGGAAATATGAACAAATCTATAACTAATGAGATTGAATCAATAATAAAAAAAACTTCCCAACAAAGAAAAGCCCAGAACCAGAACCAGATGACCTCACTGGTGAATGCACCAAAAACATTTAAAGAATTAATATCAATAGCTCTCAAAGTCTTCCAAAAAATTGAGGAGGGAACACTTCCAAACTCATTTTATGAGGCCAGCATTACCCTGATACCTATGCCAAAGACACTACAAAAAAAAAAAAAAAAAAATTAGAGGCCAATATCCCTGATGAACATAAATGCAAAAATTCTGAACAAAATACTAGCAAACCAAATTCAAAAGCATATTAAAAGGATCACACCTCATGACCAAGGAGGATTTATTCCCTGGTAATCAAGAATGGTTCAACACACAAAAATCAATTAATGTGATATACCACATTAACAGAATAAAAAAAACATGATCATCTCAACAGATGCAGAAAAAGCACTTGACAAAATTAGACATCCTTTCATGACAAAAACTCTCAAACACTAGAGATAGAAAAAAATTATCTCAACATAATTATAGCTATATATGAAAAGTCCACAGCTAGCATCACACTTCATAGTGAAAAACAAAAATTTTTTCCTCTAAGTCCAGGAACAAGGCAAGAATGCCCAATCTTGCCATTTCTGTTCAATATAGCACTGGAAGTCCTAGCCAGGGCAATTAGGCAAGAGAAAGAAATAAAAGGCATTTAAATCAGAAAGAAAGAAGTAAAATGATTTCTGGATAATATGATCTTAAAAGTAGAAAACTAAAGACGCCACACACACACACACATACAAAAACTTGTTAGAACTAATAAATAAATTCAGTAAAATTAGGATACAAAAATCAGCATACAAAAATCAGTTATGTTCTACACACTAACAACAAACTATCCCAACAGGAAATTAAGAAACAATTCCACTTACAGGAACATTAAAAAGAATAAAATACTTATTAAACCAAACTAAGGAGGTGAAAGCCTTGTACGCTAAAAAGTATTTTTAAAAAAACCAATGAAAGAAATTAAAGACAACTCAAATAAATGGAAAGACATCCCATGTTCATGGATTGTAAGACTTAATATTGTTAAAATATCCATACCACCCAAAGTGGTCTACAGATTCAATGAGATCTCTATGAAAATCCCATTGGCACTTTCTTATAGAAACAGAAAAAAATATCCTAAAATTCATATGGAACCACAACTAACCCCAAATCGCCAAAGCAATCTTGAAAAAGAGTAAGACTAGAGGTATCATGCTTCCTGATTTCAAAATATATTACAAAGCTACAGTAATTAAAACAGTATAGTATTAGCATAAAGATAATCATTCAATGAATGGAACAGAATAGAGAGCCCAAAATTAAGCCCACACAAATACAGATCTTTGATGAGG